AAAAAAAAAAAAAGAATAAGAAACAGATCAAGATTGACTCTTTTTTTAAGAACAATTAAACCATGAGAAAATAGTAAATGTATTAATTTTGCATAATACTGTGTATATTATGATTTATTATAATGTTCTCTAATAAAAGTTGTACAAGAAAGTAAAGTACACATATTTATCAATACAGTAGGCCTAGTTCCTTATTTTGACTACCCCTGTATGTTGACCAGTTTGTTACAGTCCCTTGGGTGGTTACATGTTGTGAGCAATAGGTCTTTTGCTTCTTTTGCTACTCTTCTGTTCCAGATGGCTTTTTATTTTAGGATGCAGGCCCATAAAGGGGAAGTCCCAATATGGGACTGTATTCTCCTGGCTGAGGAAAAGAGCATGAGGCTCATTCACACAAGCAGTGGTTCCCTTCTTTCTCTTTTTTGTTTTTCTTTCCTGAGACATGATCTTGCTCATGATCACAGCTCACTGCAGCCTCCAAATCCTGGGCTCAAGCAATCCTCCTGGCTTAGGCACCCAAGTAGCTGCAACTACAGGTGAGCGGCACCACACCTAGCTAATTCTTTTTTTTTTCCTTTAAGACAGAGTTGCCTAGGCTAGGTTGTATGCAACCTCAAACTCCTGGGTTTGAGGGATTCTCCTACCTCAGCTGCCTGTGTACCTGGCCTGCAGGTGCCTGCCATGATGCCCAGCTAACTTTTTTTCTGTTTTAGTAGAGATGAGGTCTCGTTCTTGCTCAGGCTGGTCTCAAAGTCTGGACCTCAAGGGATCCTCCTGCCTCAGATTCCTAGTGTGGTAGGATTACGGGTACGAGCCACTGTGCTGGCTCCTCAGCTAATTTTTTTTTTTTTTTGTAGAGACAGAGTCTCACTTTATCACTCTCAGTAGAGTGCCATGCGTCACACAGCTCACAGCAACCTCCAACTCCTGGGCCCAGGCAATTTTCTTGCCTCAGCCTCCCAAGCAGCTGGGACTACAGGCATCCGCCACAACTCCTGGCTATTTCTTTTGTTGCAGTTTGGCCAGGGCTGGGTTTGAACCCGCCACTCTTGCCACTCTCAGTATATGGAGCTGGCACCCTACTCACTGAGCCACAAGTGCTGCCCTCCCCAGCTAATTCTTAAAAAAAAAATTTTTTTTTAGAGATGGAGCCTTGCTCTGTTGCCCAGACTAGTCTTGAACACCTGGCCTCAAGCAGTCCTCTCTCTCTATTCTCCCAGAGTACTGGGATTACAGGTGTGAGTCACCATACCTGGCCTGCAATGGCTCTTAAAGCTTAGGCCTGACCTGGTATAGGTCATGTTTACTCATACTCTTTTACCTAAAGCAAGACACATAACTGATAATGGAAAGGGAATGTGCACTCTCCCTGGGGGCAGGTACCATAGCCAGTTGACAGTTGGCAGGGTTATGTGTATATGATCTACTCATAGGGAAGGGAACAATTATTTTATAGATATGGAAACTGAGGCCTCATCTCTCATGGGGAGATAATAGTGCCTATTCCATACGGTTTACTGGGTTTTGGGGATCAATAAGTGATGACATATAAAGTAGACCTGGTGATATGTTATATTTGCTATTTAAGTATTCACTATTGCTGCTGTTATTAGTGTTCTCTCCTCACCTCTATCTGTTAAACTTTTACTCACTGTACAAGGCCTTCCTCAAATAGAATCCTTTTCATGGTTCTTGTACTTTGGTTTCCTACCAGCCAACTTTTTGCCCTTTTCTGTACTTGGAAGCATGATGGCAAAAGTTTAGGAAGGGGCTTTGGAGTTGAACAGTGTGTTTGACTTTTCGTTCACATGTTCAGACAAGAATAATTATGTTCACATTGCGAACTCTTCCTTTGTTCTGGGCTAGCGAATGTTCCCTTTCTTTTTAATATCCAGCTACCAGAGGCAGTACCTATCTGTCTTCCTCCTCTTTCCTTGTACCTCATTATCAGTGAGTATCAATTAATAATTGAATTCTTTTCATGTCCAGCCAAGTGTAAATGGGGGGGGGGTCTTAAATTTAGTCCAGGACCAAGTTTTGGGTATAGATGGTAGTGGATTGGGGGCAATAATATCCTATTTAAAAACTCAGATTTTTTGGTTAAGTTTATTTCCTATAGAAATCCTTGTCCAGGCTTGGCACTTGTAGCTCAGTGGCTAGGGCACCAGCCACATACACCAAGGCTGGTGGGTTCGAACCCAGCCCCGGCCAGCCAAACAACAATGACAACTACAATTAAAAAAAAAAAAAAATAGCTGGGCGTTGTGGCAGGCACCTGTAGTCCCAGCTACTTGGGAGGCT